TAAATAATTGATTTTTGAAATAAAAAAAACTAACAAATTTATTTTTCCAAAATAAAAGGACTACTTTAATATTTTGTTGAGATAAAAAGTATTTGATTCTATCCTATTCTATATCCTATAAGTACAAAAGTCTGCATTTATGAAAACCCATTTCAACCTCACAAGAAAATGAAAAATTAAAAGCTTAATGATAGAAAGAAACTCTCTCTCTCTCTCTCTCGGACTCACGTTCTCTCTTTTCTCTTAGCAGCCCTCCAAGTCTCTCTTTTCTCTTTGTAGCCCTTCAAGAAAACAAGAAATAGATTTTTGGAAAAACTTAACTTCTAATGGCATCCGGGTTTTCGGTAACCCTATAAGAAAACAAAAAAGTATTCTTGTGAAACCTCAACTTCTAATAGCATTTGGGTTTTCGTAAGTCTCCAAGAAAACGAGAAAGGGATTCCAACATCTAATGACATCTAGGTTTTCGGGTGTTAGCGATAACAACATAGGTGGCTTAGGTTGAGTCACTCTTGGTCCTTGTCTCTCTGCTTGTGGTTGAAATTCAACTTTTGAAATGGTTGATTTCTTTTCTTTTTTTTTAATTATTATATATAACGCCGTTATGTAATGGCAAATAACGGCGTTATATAACAATAACGGTGTTATTTGCCATTATACATGTGAAATGACATCGAGGTATCTATAACACCGAATAACGGTAATAGGGTATCCCAAAACCGTTATATAATGGCCGTTACGTTATATAATAGTCATTTTTTAAAACCATGCCGCCAACTCGCTCAACTTGCATCTTATTAGCATTGTCTACTACTCCTCTTACGTCTCTCACTACTTGCATCCATTCCGCTTGATTAGTTGACTATTATTTTTATAAATTACAAAACTAGCTCTCCGATTTTTGACCTACTTGTGAAATAATTGTTTGATTAATTCTCAATAACCTTCCACGTAAACATATACACCAAATCCAAATCCCAAAACCACCTAGTGGCAAGGTGGTTTTCCAACTAATGTATGACATGGGCTTACAAATCTAAAACCCTTTAGAAAATTGATATATCTGGCTCATACTTGAGATTGGAGGGATTAAGCCAAGGGTTAGCGGGGAAAGTGCCTTATTTACAATGAGATCAGAAACAAAAGGTTCGTATAAAAAGGCCTAAAATTCATTGCCATGGCAGACATGGGTTTGAATCATACCGAGTGTAAGGAAGTTAATTGTCTGACCACCACAAGGTCGATCTTGGACCCACTTTTATTTCCAATAGTCGTGAAGCATCAAAATTTCTTAATTCCTACACCAGATTTTTTTTTTCCGACCTTGAGGATATTTCAATATTAATTTATATCTCAATCAAAAAAAAGTTTTTTCGGGGTTGACTTTAAGAATGCATCTTTTTGCACAAGTTTGGTGCAGAAAAATTAAATTAATTTTTTTTTTTTTCTGAATGCTGATCTTAAAAAAAAAAAAAAAAAAATAAGAATGCATCTTTTTGCACAAGTTTGGTGCAGAAAAATTAAATTAATTTTTTTTTTTCTGAATGCTGATCTTAAAAAAAAAAAAAAAAAAAAAAAAAAAAAAAAAAAAGAGGAAAAAACATGCCTCCTAAATATCAAGTCAATCCTTGAAGTTGCCTAACCAGTGACTAGTCAAGGTTTAAACTCAGGTTTCAAATTCTAGCCAAGCAGAAAATGACAAATTAAAACCCGTAAGCAATGGTGAACAGAAATTTCCAAACAAAGTCCTGGCCCAATTTCAGATCTACAAATTACAAGCTTTAGCTTAGAGGAAGGTATAGCCCAATAAAAGTTGATCAATTCATCAAACAAACTAGGCTACGCCTCGTATAACCTTTTTAAGAAACAAATGTACAAGACATAATCTGAGCCAGGCCTAATAAGAACTTCATTTCTTAAAGCAGGCCTAGCTAATAAGGATCTAGCTCGCGCCTCAAGCGCACTTCGGATTCTAATAGGTTGCAATTTTGAATTTATTTCGATTAGGGGTTGTTTGGTATTTTGCAATTTATTTTTATTAGGGGTTGTCTGGTATTCCTGCGTTGAGACTCATGTATCATGTTGTGCGGTAAAATCGATGTTTGGTAACCGATTACTTTATTGTATATATAAATATTTAAAGCAACTAAATTGTATTTTGTTAAATTTTATTGATATACTTTTAAAATATAATATGATCAATAAAGACTGCAACATATTAAAAATATTATAACAAATATATTTTATTTATATTAATGTGTCTGTTTGTATTATTATCCTATTTAACTTTTTTTTTAACTTTTTTTTTTTTTAACGTAAGAATTCTCTCGTAAAAAACATCCACACATATAATATAATTTAGGTAAGAAGTTATAAATCAAATATATATATATGATTTTGAAATAAAATTAAGTAAAACACAAGCATGAATGTGTATTCTATTTTATTTTTTTTAAGAAGAAAGTTGTTATTTTAAATAAGAAAAAATCGTTCCCATAATAAGTAGTTGTGCTTTGGGTAAAACTAGGGGTACTTGTTTTTAACAATAAAACAAAATAGTTTTTTTTTTTTTTTTTCCTTAAGTGATACCTGTTTTGATTTCAAACCGAAACATGTATTAATCAAATACTACTTTAGGACAAAAAATAGGTGTGCTTTAAAAGACAGCAATACCAAAACACACACTAGAGATGAGAATGTGAACATAATTGCAAACATTATGTGAAAATAGGATTATGGGTTCTAGTTTTTTTCAACTTAAAACCCAATATGATTTTGTTGCAGACTTTTTTATGCTAGTCTCAATTAAGAAAACTTTGTAACAAAAGAAATAAAAAAAATAATTGAAATGCATTCCGTAGGACAATCAATGTCCCAATCTTGTAGATAGATGAACTAATTTAACTTTTAAATACAAATTATGACTAATTCTAATGATATTTTTAAGATTTTATGTTGTAAAAAAATTAAATCAAGTTGAAGTTAATAGGATGCAATGGGCTTGGAAACCTTTAGTAGGGAACCACAACCTCTTAAGCTAGTTGGATTGTAAGATTGCAGAGTTAATAACTCTAGATAAAAGATAATGCAAAATAAAAATCAAAAATCAAACCCTTTACTCTAATTTGCAATTAAAATAACAAGATTAATCTAAAAACTAAAGAATTAAACAATCAAAATACTAAGAGCAATAGGCTGTAATATAAATGAAAACCTAACAAGTAATGAACTTGAAGACTTACAAAGCAATATCGTAGTCTTTACAATACTAAAGAATGAACTTACAATAAAACGAAATGAAAATATTCACAAATGGACGCTCTTCATATAATAAATATTGAAAGAAGTGAGAATGGTGATTGTTGGAAGTATGTAAAGAGGATCGAGAACCAACTATAAGACTACAATCTATCACCTACTAGATTACCGCTTATAAATTCCCACCTACTAATTACTATCTACAAACTATCGCTTATAAATTATTGCCTACTAGCTATCGCTTAAAAAGTTTCAATTGTGAAACTTATGAAAGTGCTTTTTAAGTTATTTACAATTTGTAAGAGTTTGCTTATGTGTTATATTATTATGTATTTTTTCCTCTATTGCAATTAGTATTTATAGACCATTTGCTCCTCTATAATCTCTAGCAATGAACCATTTTTTTCTCATGCATATTATGATGCACTATGTTCTTCTTCTTACACTACAATGTAACCATGCTCTTTTTTTCTTACAATACAATGCCCTATTCTCGTTATCCATGTGCTCGCAATCTCCTACGTTCCTTCTAACTATCTAGAGCTTACTTTAATTTCTATTAAAATTATGTTATTCTTTAACTATCTACACTTTACTTGTTATTGATCACCTTGCCCTTAAAATAGAAATTTTCTTTGCATATTTGCTCCGCTCTTGCTTTGGTGAGGGCCTTATTGAGAGTCCATCTTTTGTTGGTTTCCCTAAGTTTATGGAGGGAGTTCTAACAACTTTGTCCGAGTTGATTTGTTAGGCTTAATATGTTCATTGAGCTTAATGAGCTAGGAATAACTTTTTTTGACTAAAATAAATCCAATGGATTTTGGGGTAAAGCCAATAAATAAGGTATAAGAAAAACCTATTGAAGAATTTGATGGGTTTTTTCCATCTTATCCATCCAATTTATTAGGCCTAAACCTAGAATTAATTAGGATATAACATACATCCGTCTTCTTTATATATGTGAGAGTTTACCTCACTTATAGAAAGAAATCTCTTCTACTAATTAAGAATGTCCCATCATTATGCATTCTATTTTGTTCTTCAAAGTTTTCCTTATCTCTTAGTATTTTTGTTTTAGAAAAGCATTTTCTTCATCATTCAACCTAAAAACTTTCTTGAATTCTACTATTTAGGACAGTCGTCCTATGGAAAAAAAGTTAAAGGATATTAAAATAGAAGATCTTAAAACTAAAACTATGACCTCATACGAAGAGTTACAATCTATTGAGTTGACTTCTCATAAAAAAGAGACTAGACTCTTATGAGCTCATATGAGAGTTCTCTTATTGTAAGACCAAGAGCTAGTTTTATTTTTAGGTTTTTTAGTAGATTTTTAAAATATTTTTATATCATGCAATTCTCTTTTATAGGTGGATGAAACTCATGTGCTCTTTTGGGTTAGTAGAATTCGGTAAAACCGAAAAACCAAACCAAAATATGAATTTTGGTTCAGCTTTTTAAAGCAAATATATATATATAATAAAAGTAATTTTAGTTTTGGTGTTCAATTTGGTTTTTAAAAATTTTCAAATGGTTTAAATTGAAAAACAATTTTTTTTTATTTTTATTATAATTATTTTTATTTGTAAATATAAGGCCATTAAGCCGCATACGCCCACCCTCCTACTAGCTTTGTGCCCTTGTCTATTGTCTTGTTTCTTCTTTGTTGAACCTATTCTCCCATAGTCCCACATGGTCACCTTGTCACCACTCCACACTCCACAACACCCATACACAAGCCTCTAATGACCTAACCCTCTCTTCTTCTCCCACATGTTCATTCTCTTCCTATTAGACTCGCTCACACTCGTAGACTTACAATCATAGTAGCTCTTTGTCAAAAGAGCCAAAAATTGAGCAAACTTTGTTGACCACCATACGAATCGCTATCCACCTCTCACCGAGCACCAACTACAAGCCATAACTCACTTCTTTCATCTCCATTCTAGGTAAGAGGAACAATAGCTCCTATCCTTTTTAACTTCTATTAACTTTTCTAGGCATTTTTTTGGTTTTTTAATTGATTATTGATTTTTGGGTCTTGATTGTTTTTAATTGATACATTAGAGATTGCTAGGTTAGTTAAGAATTATATGATTATGTTGAAATTAAACTGTTTGAGGTAGATAGTCATTTGATTCTTTCCTTAATAGTTTTTAGGACCTCATAGCAATAAATATAATTCAAATTAGTAACATAATCTGGACCAGCTAGCATAAAAGATGAAATAATTTCCACCTCATTTTGTTCCTTTATTGTTTCAATTCATGGTTTGGTTAATTTGATAGATGACTTTATATCTAAACTTTATGCTCTCATATTTAATTATTAGTAGCTTTGAGACTACTTATAGCTATATTGTTTAATTCATGATCCGACTAGAGTCCTATCCATTGGAATTCTTTGGCTTTTGGAGTTCTTTAACTTCGCCTTGTTTCCTCTTGCATAGTCAATACTCTAGAATATAAAGAAAGTCAATAGATTTTTGCGTAGCTAGCCTAGCATAATAGCATTTTTTTGTCATATAAAGATGTGATTAGGCATGTCTATAAAAAAAAAATGGCAAGAGTAATGCTAGAAGGTTGTCAAATAGGGTCTCCACTTAGGACATCAAGTCTAGCTATATTTGTCAATTATCATAGTTTACTTATCAAAATAGAATTGCTTCCGTCCATGTTAATATTATTGTTAGTTCAATTGTATTGCGTCGGTAAATTATTTTAATTCTATAATTTTTTTTATTTAGATGTCACAACTCGAAGAGATTAATGTTAACTCGAAGAGATTAATGTTAAAATTATGAGTTCAAGTAATTTATATTCAACTATAACTCCAAATAACACACAACCGGCATGAGAACGAAGAGAAAACTAGTTAAGCCAAAATCAATTGTGTGGGAGCATTTCACAAAGTTTGAAGAAGAGAATAAAGAAATCAAGGTTAAGTGCAACTATTGTGATAAAGTATTTGCTTGTCATCTTACAAAAAATGGTACTACCGCACTTAAGTTTCATATAACCGTATGCAAAAACACCCTTACAAGTAGTGACACTACACAAACTCAATTAAACCTTCAACCAAATATAGGAGGAGAAACACTCTTAGCACATGAAAATTAGATCAAATTGCTAGAAATGCTTTAGCTTACATGATCAATGTAGATGTTTTGTTTAAGTTTGTAAAGGATAACGAGTTCAAAAAGTTTATGTCTAATGCACAATCTATATTCAAAATCCCATCTCTGTTTATGATTTTAAGAGATTTCTATCAACTTTATTTAGATGACAAATTAAAATTTAAGCAATTATTGAAACAAAATTATGCAAGAGTGTCTCACTATGGACATAGACATCCACTCAAAGAATAAATTACATGTGTTTAACTACTCATTTCATTAATAATGATTATAAGTTGCAATCTTGAGTTTTTGTCCGGTTGATAATCATAAGAAAATAGATTTAGGTATTTTCATTAAAAAATGTTTGATTGATTGGGAAATTAAAAAATTTTTCCGTTACAAGTTGACAATGCAAGTTCGAATGATATGTCAATTAGACACTTAAAAGATGTTATTAAGAATTGGGGTCATAATATCTTAGATGTGGAGTTTCTTCATATAAGGTGTATGACACATACTTTGATTCTTATTTTTATTGATAGGTTAAAACATTTTAATCCTTTGCTCATTTGTATTCAAGTGGCCATTAAGTATGTGAGACAATCTCTAGTTTGGTTGAGAAAATTTAAGGAATGCATTGAAGTTTAAAAGATTGAGTCTAAAATTTGTTACAACTAGATGTCGTAGTTAGATGGAATTCAATATATTTGATGTTAGATGTGATTCAAAAGTTTGAGAGAGCTTTTAAAAATTATAAGCAAATTGATCCTTTTATATGAGAGTGAATTTGATATAGATCATGGTGATAATGTTGTTGGACTACTTAATATTGATGATTGGAAGGCTTGTAGGAAGATGATGAGTGTGTTGAAAATTTTTTACGACCAAACTATAAAAAGTTAAGCCTTTAGGGACTAATTTTTTTGTTGCTAAATCTATATATTTTGTCATTATTTTCTTTTAGTGATGAAACGAATTTGTTGGTAAAATACTTGTCTCTAATAATTTTAATGATGGATAAGTTATTGCCATAATAAAGTATGTCCGTTCCTAATATGATGAAATTTGCGACAAACATGTTGTTGCTATAGGGAGGTACTCCCATTGCTAATGAGACAAAAAATCACCAATAGATATTTCCATCGGTGATTTTTTATTGCTAATTCATCTCCATTTGGTCGGTAATCCATCAATAGTTGATGTAATTTAATCATTTTTTTATCATCACTCGATTGTTGATTTGTTCCTAAAGTAGGAAATATAATATTTTTTTTTAACTCTTATTAGTGATTTAATGTTTAATTGTACTAGTAAATAACTAAAAATAAAATTATAAAATGAAATATTATTATGTAGAATAAAAATAATATAAAATTTAAATCAAATGTAGGATGATGCATCATAATATTATACATACCATACAAGTCCAAATATTATAAGTGCATAGCACATGCCTTCAGTTGCTAAATTCATTTACAAGTACGTACATACTGACAATGTAACTTAGATTGTTAGATTCTACAACAAAAAATCAAAAGTGTTGTAGTGTCACTGAAGAAACTAAACCCTTGCATTTTCTAATACTGCATTTGCTGCATTTACCATTGAATCCCTCTCATGTTCAAGTTTCAAAGCTTCTTCCATATTCAACATCTAAGCTTCTCTCTGATTCTGACTTATTTTAGAAATTTCAACAACATAAGACTTGCACCTCAAAGTCTCAGCCTTGTAGAAAGACAATTGTTCTCTAGTTGAAGCAACATATGTTTTACATGTGAAACTTCTCCATGAAGTTATTGGAGGTGATTTTCTAAAACTTCATAAGCGGATGCTGCCTCCACATGAAGTTGAGAGAAGATGTTGTCAAACTGAGTTTTCTTATCATTGTAATGCCTAAGGAATTTTTCTGAAGAAAATTCTTTACCCATGGACTTTTTGGTTCCAAAAAGTTTTGATTTGCAATGAAGGTATTCCATCATAGCCTTGGAAAAAAGATGCATAGTCGATTGAGAGATGATGTAAGGTATCAAAAGTGGCTTATGCCACCTTCAACATTAGTTCACGCTGAGACTGATCCATAGACTACAGAATGTTGAGCAAACTTTGCCCAAATGTTTTCGAGGCTGGCTTTGATATATCATTTTTCTGTACCATAATTTTAATTTTCAAAGGCTCCTAAAAAACAATGTTTGGATTCTCAGTATCCTTTCTAGGATATTATGGCAATGGACCTTATTGTATATAACTTTCTTCATTCGAAGAACTGTCTGATAAGAGAGTTGGGGCTTCAGTATCACCCACGTTTTTTTTTAACATGATCAAAAGGAGGAGTAACACCTTTTACAAAATAGAGATGTTCGAACTAAAGATTTGAGGAAAAAAATAGATAAATAAATGAATGAACAATATTTACGGCAAAAGAAAGGTGCAGCATGAGGCTCTTTTGGGAACTAATTAGAGGGTTTCAAGCAATCCTACCCAATCAAACACAGAGAAGAAATTGTAAAAAGGGTTAAACAAGATTATTTAACCACCAAAATGAAAAACAAAAGTAAGAAAATTAACTCAATATGAAATGACAGTAGTGATACTAGGAGTAATAATTCAAGTGATCAAAATACTCTGACAGTATTAAGAAATAGAATAAGTAACCCAAAATTATACACCTTCACATTTTGTTTGCTCTCTAGTAGAAATTTGCAAAGAGAACTCTGATTCTTGGCAAAAAATCTCAGACTTGGGTATCGATGGGGGAACTTGAAATGCTATCCCTATCATAAGATCCCAAGACTCAGAGTCCTGTATGACCCAGTCCCTAACAGGGAATTCATCTTTTCTGGAAGGTGAAGCCATAAATGAATTAGGAAAATTGCCAAAACTCTCAAACATCATTGACTCCAACTCAATATCAGAACTCTTTGCACGGTTTTTTGTTAACAAGAAGGACTTGATGACCAATAAACAACGACCGAACGGCAGAGTATCCATTGCTCTCACCTACATGCATGGTCAACATGCTATTCACTTTAGAGTTCACCTTCTGAAAAAACTGACAAGCTCCATGATTCTGTATCAAAGTCAAACCACTTTACCAGAGATCTAGACAAGCAGCTATTACGAAACCATGCAAAAGCAAAAGGAAAAAAAAAAAAACATGTAAAACTAATAACTGCTTTTTAACTTGGTTATCTCACCCAAGGGCTAAGAGTTCATAGCCAGAATCAATTACTTGAAAGCATTAGCAAACCAGCTTTACATTTAAAGGTGATGTCCTATTGTGTCTATGGACTTTTGTAGATTTTTTTGACAAAATTTTAAGTGGGAGTAGTTATAAAATCAGTTCCATGTTATTCTGATCCTTAAGAACAAGACAGATCGTGTTTGTTAAATCTAAATTATTGAATAAAAGTCAACAGTTAGACTTATATTTAATTTTAACATCAAATATGAAATAATTACCCACTACTAATGAGTAAAAATCTCGACAATTGATTAAAATAAGATCAACCCGGAATAGCACCATCCCGTCACAATGATAATGGCAATTTATTATGAATAAAAAGGAAAATTACTGAGGAAAAAAACACAACCCAAAACAAAAAACATATTAAAACATTGTTAAAAAAGAAAAGGAAGCAAAAATCAAAGAGCACAACCTTTTAATCCGGCAAGCAAAATACCATCAATTTATATCTGGACCACTTGATATTTAAAATGCATGTCTCGGCACCATATGGATGCATAGGAGGTTTAAAATCTAGCAACAATTTCATCACTCCATTTGAAGAATTTGCACTTACCCTGAGAATTAACAACAAAAAGATAATATACAAAATAAAAAAAGGAAAAGGTAGGTCATAAGATACAGACTGTGCAATAGTAGTGTAGTTTTATGATCAACAGGGCAGGTATAAAACTTTCTTCCAGTATTTTTATCAGTTTTGGAAGTGTATACTTTACAAGCACCCTGACCACAACGGCAACAAAACAAATGGCAAATCAGGAACATACACTGAAGGTGAGGAGGGAGATCCAAGGCTTGAGACCTGTAATTTTTTGGGGGTTTCTTTTAGGACAATATTTGGCTCAATGGACAAACCTTTTGCATATAAAGTATTGTTCATATTCTTTTAGGTTCCATTGACGAGATGGATAAGTAGAGAGCGGTAGAATTGAGGAACACGGGCTGGTATCATAACAGGCTCTCACATCCCGTCACTTCCACTGATTTTATGGTTGCTATTATTTCCACGAAAGAAAAAGAAACCTTCTGAACTTTTTGGAGGAGAAGAGAAAGGAGAGGAGTGTAGGGATTCAAAGCAACATAAAAAAAATGATGCAACGGAAATAATATCATAAAAAAATTTGCTTTGAAATGCCACATGATCCATATGAAAACAACAAAGTCGAGAGGATGAGATTATTACCTCTTGTAGCATAAATCACACCTCTTGCGTAAGGGATGCTTGAATCATGCGCACGGATCAACAAATTGTACCTTTATCGATATTCACATGAATGTCTCGATCATCGGAACAATTCTAGAATAGAGAGTCACCTCTATTTGAAGTGCTAGCTATGACTTGTGGTGTTTAAAGGTTGGTTCACTCATCAACTCAAGGCAACTATGGTTTCCTCTCAAAGTTGTTAGGGTTTCTATCTCACAGATTGCTTGAGGGTTTTTGTCTCATACAATGTCCTTATATAAATAAATATTTCATGGTGGTTGTATTTTATAACAACCGGAAAGTGTGTGAGCCATAGTCCCACTAAGAAACTAATTTCCTAACCTTGAGGGGAATTTCTTATTAAAAATTTTTTAATAAAAATGGAAACAACCTACCGGAGTGGAGGGATGGGAAAATTATTTGATGAGTCACACATAGTTTTTGTTAATGCTCTTGAATCATGTGATATTCCTTCCCATCCAGCCCAAACAAAAGTAAAAATCATATCAAAATCATATATTACAAGAACATTTTGATAGCAATCTCCTCATCCTCTCCCTCTATATGGGACTTGTTGGTCGTGTGATATAACATCATGAATGAAAGTCCCATCAAGGGCACCTACAACACCTTATAAATAAATAAAAAATTAGTTAATTTTAAACTATATAAACCAATAAAATTAGAAATAAAAAGTTAAATGTATAACATGAAATACTTGACGAAGTCGATGATGATGTTGAACTTGACTTAAATATGGGTAAAATGTAGTAGGTACAACCATTTTTCTTGCAAACTTTAATGTTGCTTGCAACACTTCATGGAAATAGCGATGCATTGTTTGAGTTGAATGATTAAATTTTCGTTTCACGACACAATTTTGAAAATTTTGACTTAAAGTTATCAAAAACATTGCCATTTTTTCTTCAACCTTAATATAACGATTATCTCTCAACCATCCTTTTTGTTTGAAATAATCACATAAATTTGAGAATGCTTCTTTTTTCATTCTCAATATTTCTTAACAGATGAGTTGGATTTCCGTGAAGGATCTCTTGCATATATGCATGTCCTTTAAGAGTCGAATCCGTATCCGGTCTTCTTCCAATTTGTCTTCTATTGATCCTTTCAGTATAAGAATCAACACAATAATCCTTAAACTCTTTTTTTGCTTATCTATCAACATGCTCGTTAATTAAAAATAAAACAAACAAAAGCACGTATCAAAAAATTGACAAGAAATCTAATTAAAGAAAAAAATATTCAAATTAGAGTACTTTTATTCGAACTATAATTCTTATGAAAATCCTAGACAATCAAAATGAAACAAATTATTCTAAAATACTAAACACAAATCTTAAGGAAAAATATTCAATTAAAACAATGCTAACTTTTTAGCAACCATTTTGATCCATTCAATTTTGACTTCCTTTGGCTTTTAAGAAAGATTTATCCATATGTTTTTCTTTCATAAAGATAGTACATGTAGCTATATATAAAGGGTCATCCATTCCTAAAGTCTCAATTGCATCTAACTTCTTATTGCATTGTTCTATACTAGGTCCATTAGACCCTTCAAGTGTCTTCGGTCTTCATTTCATCTAACTTCTTTCGACACTTTTTAGGTTTTTTTTATTTCATCACTTGGAGTTGAAAATGGAGCTAGAGAATTAGACTCTAAATCAATACATTCTTCAAAATTTGTTTCAATTGGTTTAGTTGGCATAGAAAAACCAGCTCCATTTGCTCGCATGGATTCTTTAGAAGCGTTTGAAGAAGCAACTCCATTTATAGGCATTGTGCCTTTAGAAGGACCCTAGCCTTCTTTTCGAGTGGCTGAAATTCCATCAAACAATGATTTCATCTCATCCGAAAATACAAACCAACATAACAAAACTCGTTTCACATCATTATTATTCGTTATATAAATATATAAAATCAATAATATGATTAATTGCTTTAAGCTCTACTAGGGAATGAAATGTATATATATATATATATATATATATATATACCGCTCATAATCAGCCCACTTTTATGCAGTTCAATTGACAATATTAGTCACTAGATCATAACCATGTCCACTTTTATCTATTAGTTTTGACCATATTATGTACTTCTTTTTTAAATACGTCTACTCATTCTTTAATTGTTTTTTAGAAAACTTAATGCATTTCTTTTCCTTAAAATGCTTTCACTACATTTTCCCATGATTCTTTTTTGAAGCACCCTCCATTTTTTCTAAGAATACTCACTTGTTTAATGCATGTATCCAAAAAAAATTTTACTATTTTAGGGTGCTTCTAATTGGCTCTAAGCATTATCTTCAGAGGTCATTCTTACACATAATAAAATGGTTATACCAAAAGCCATATTAATACAATCTTAAAACTCAAAATTCCACCATAAAAACTATTTTAGCATGTTTAAAAAAATAATCAAACTACTTTCCTAAAAACATAAAAGCAATTGAATAATATAATAATCATGCAAACATATATAGAATAAAAATTATCCCTTAAAACTATCCTAAATAATCCTTGCTTTATTGAAGAAGAAGAAAGGAATGTTATAAAAAGTCAAAAGAAATAGAGACTAAAAATAGTCCGGATAGTTAACATTTTGGGCTCTCGAATGCTTCTATAGCATTATAGAGCCACCCAACACGTATACCATCGGAATGTCCTTTCATTGCCTACATCTTTTTAGAAACCTCATTTATCCCTATTTCTCCACAATATATTATGCATGCTTTGTTAGTATCATTTATTGTTTCTATTATTTAAAGATGCATTAGCTAAGCACACGTTAGACTGATGAACCCTTGGACTAATGAAAGGGCTAGAGGAACAAGAGCTTGTTACATTGTACGTTAACAAAGGCCTCTCCTTCATTATGTACCCATACCATCTCAACCTATAGCAAATGTAGCCTCTATGAAAATTTTTAATGAGATATATATATGTCAAAATATTCGTGTAAATGTACATTAAGTACGAGTGCAATTGTAGATGTCATTTTATCTGTTTGGTGATGATAATTATTTAGCACTTATGTGAGAATTTTAGGATAAAGTTTTAGACAAATTAATTAATGACCACTCATTATATATTAAGTACTTGGGATATATTATACAAGTGAAATAAGGGTGTGTATAAAATTTTAGAAATGTAGGAATATTTTCCTTGGAAATATCAGAATGAAAGGAAAAGGAATTTTTGAATTTTAGAGGGGAAATTTCCGAAGATTTATGAAGGAAAATATGTTTAGTTACTTGGACTAGATTGGTTAGGGTGTTTAGTTACTCTAACTAATTAATTAGGACACCTAGACCCCTCCTAATTAATGAATTAAAACCAGCTCACCCTAAGCCTCTCCAACCTCGCCACCCTCTCTCTATATATATATAATAAGTGAGAATGGAAGAAAAAATTTAGGCATCCCATAGCTACACAAACAAGAGAGAAAAACGGTAAGGAAAGAGAGGAAGAAAAAGGAAAAAAAAAGGAAAGGAGAAAAGGAAAGCAAAGCCAAGGAAATTCTAGTCATACCTAAGCTAAGTAAGCGAGTTACCTTTTACTTGTTTATATCATTTATTTAATCTTTATGCAATTGACTAAACATGTGTTTAAGTGATGATATGTTATTGTGATTGGTTGTGTTAATTAATTTACCTTACAATTCTTATTGGTATGGTTGGTTGTATTGATTGATTGTGTTGGTTGCTACCCAAAATTTAGAAAGCTTTGTATATGGTTAAATTCATGTTTGAGGGTGTGAATGGTGGAATTGGGTTACACAAAACATGGTGGATAAATTTAGGACTTGTATAGACTTGAATAAAATAGAGTATGAAGGAAAGAAAAATAAAATTTTAGGGTTCTCCTTGAGTAAACTTTTGGGCTAGAGAGTTACATGGCCTCCCACATGGGTGTGTCCTTACTCGTGTAATGAAGAAATATGTTTTTCTTCAAGTCGAGAGTTATACGGCCTCTCACACGAGTTTGTCCTTGCTCGTAATGAAGAAATGTGTTTTTCTTCAAGTTAGGGAGTTACACGGCCTCCCACACGGGTGTGTCCTTGCCCGTGTAATGAAGAAATATGTTTTTCTTTAAGTCGGGGAGTTACACGGCCTCCCACACGGGTGTGTCCTTTGCCTTGTAATGAAGAAATGTATTTTTCTCGAAGTCGGAGAGTTACATGGCCTCCCACATGGGTGTGTCCTTGCCCATGTAATGGAGAAAGGTGTTTTTCTTCAAGTCGGAAAGTTACACGACCTCCCACACTTGGTGTGTCCTTGCCCGTGTAATGAAGAAATGTATTTTTCTCGAAGTCGGAGAGTTACACGACCTCCTACACGAGCTTGTCTTTACCCGTGTAATTCACTCGGTCACTCGAAATTCATTACTTTTACTTTATAATTGCTCGGTCTCCATTCCTTTTCACCAAGATAACGTAATTAATAGTCAATTAGGCTCAAATAGATATAAAATAAAAATAGAAAAATATATCTTAAAATGAGTGAAAATGGGTTCAAATGCTTATAATTATTCAAGTCATAGTGGAAAAAATTAATGATTAGAATTATGATAGGAAACAAAAGAAAAGTACCCACATACACAATTAGACCCACGACTCAATCAATACCATTTGTCGTTCTTTAATTCTAACAAAGGAAAACATGATGATAAGGGGTACGAGTATGCCCAAAACCCCGTGTAGATTAGACTTATGAAAATATATGAAGTCGGATTCTATATGGATTGGATATATGTAATATGGTACTGTAATTATGGTATCACATGCATCAATAGGAAATAAATGGGAACAAAATCAATTAATTGAGAATTGAGTTGTATGAATAGTTTTGATAACCTAATCGAATAAAAAGGGGTTAGCGATCCAGATCGTGTACGTACTCTAAGTCGTGTGCCTACACTGTTAGGCGATGGATTCCCATCGGCGAGTGGCTACAACGAGGGATGATTTCATTGTTAGCATTCGATGATTTGGTAATCATGTATAGAGTAGATCGCTAATACCCGTGGTATCCGGAATTAAAAATTGGTGAGAATGATGTGAAGTCGGAAAAGCATTGCATATAACGTGCATCACCTCACTTACCGAGCTTCGGCTCACCCCGTTGTTATTTGCATGTTATGATAGGTAGTGGTGATCGTACTACCAATAAGGATACCGCCGAATCCTTCAAAAGGGCTCGGAGGTAATATAAACTTTAGGATATTTTGTTTTTTTTGTAAATTTTACGGTTGGGGTGTCAATGAACATTTTGATGATATTGTAAATAAAATTTATAATTTCTTCCACTGTATTGTTAATATTATGTAAATTTTCTTGGACGTGTTTCATTGTATGATAAGTCCTTAACGTATGAGCACGTACGTATTTACGGTTAATTCGGAAATTAGTCGTATCGGCGTGACGTGCCTCGTCTAGTTACTCCTATTTGGATAATAGAGAGTGAATCGGGCGGGGGCATTATAAATCCATATAGAGGAAGAGGTAGTATCGGCAACAACCTCATCTCATTCGGATCGAGGTCTACCTCTTCCACTTCCTATAACAAACTTGAAGTCTACTCAAGATTCAGTGGAAATGTTGGGAGATGACGAGTCAATCATCATCCTTCTTCCACTTCGGATAACAAACTTGAAGTCGACTCAAGATTCAAGAAGAAAGCCCCGGTTAGTGCCGAGAGATGATGAGTTAGTCGGTTAGTCATTATTGACCTTCTCCTTGCTCATTGTATAGTCCGTGCTCTACTTTTTTTTTTATATTAGTATTAGAAACGACCAAACTAATACGAGCTCAAGTCATGTTGTATGTATATCCTCATAGAGTTATAGGGTTTTGGGTTTATTTTTTGGATCATAGCCTGCTACTATGAGCCTTAAGAATGATCTTTATGATTGTAATTTGTAACCAAAACCTTTTTTTTATTCATCTCGCATTCTTCCTAAAAATCCAAGAACAAACTAAAGAGAGATGGATTTCAAAACCATCGATCAAGGGACATCAAGGGAAGCTAGGAAATGCATTAACACGTACTTACTTATGTGATGTAAAGGCAATGACATCAACACCAGCTGATGTGAAAGAGTATCTAAACTCATATGCATTCATGATTGACATGCCGGGATTGAAGTCAAGAGACATCAAGGGAAGTCGAAAAATTCCGCACTATCGAAGAGAGGAAGCGTAGGGAGGAGAAATGTACTAGATATAAATGATCATTTTGGCGGTTTAAATTTTGCACTACTAGAAGTTGGGAAGTCCGTATACGTCATGAATTTGGTCCTAACAGATTGGACCAAACTACCTTCCCTTAATACTAGATAGAGGTTTTATTGGTGCACTACGTGATTGGTAATTTTGTTATCTACTAGACGGATGGTTATGCATGTTTAGAGTTTTGTTCTTTGGTTATCGTTGGGTTTGGGGTATTTTTTGGAATGAGTTTTTAGTTTCGATTAGGAAACCGATGTTTTTTCTAAAAGATTAATGTCGCAGATTGTTATATTGTCATAAAGGCATATGTTTTAGTCTCTTAATTCAATGTTTTTGTTAATTATCTTCTCCTTAATATCTTAAGAAAAAAGTAAAAAATATTGATGATGATGGGATTAGAAAGACATGAACATAGTTGAAACATAAATCAAAACCCATAAAGTAAAACAACTTAATCTAAAAAAAACAATCAATCTTTATATAAAAAAATATACAAAAAAAAATTATCAAAAATATATTGATGATGATAGGATTAGAAAGACACGAACATAATTGAAACATAAATAAAAACCTATAAAGTAAAATAGCTTAATCTACAAAAACAATCAATCTTTCTCTAAAAAAAAAAATTAAAAATAAAAATAAAAATTGATCAAGATATCATTAGACATGAAGAAAAATCATTGGTAATGAAATGAAAAGAAAATTATCCGTAATGAGATTAGATCTTGGAGTTTCAGATTTTGAGATGGAAGCATCGATACTAGAGAAGGTTTCCTCTATTTTAGCAATGAAGATAATAGAAATTGTTTTTCAGTTGGTTTGTATAGATAAATTTATAAGAATATATAAAGGTAATATAGTTATATTTAAAAAGTTCTAAAAATTTTTCAACCGAGCGTGTTAATAAAAAAATAATAATTTAAAAATTTTAACTTATCCGATTAAGTAGATTTTGAATGAGCTTAAATTTTTAATATGAGATTATGTAGGTTATTAAATAATTTTTTTAATTAAATACTATAACTTAATTTTTTAAGCTAGTTAAATAGATTATTAAATACTTCCTTACTTGAATGGAAAAAATTCTAATGCTTAAATAATTAGTATCCATTTAAATATTTGTATATACAAAAAACTTTATAGATATTTATATTTGTTTTCGCATCCAATCCAATCAAATAACGATGAATTAATATTTATATTTGAACATAAGATGCTTGAAAATAAATAAATAAAACTATTTCTCGTGCCACCGCCCGCTGGTTCTTATTTGTGTCAAAAACTGAAAAATATGACTACGAGCGGTTTTCATTTCAGCTTCCAATTTCTTGCACAAGACAGCTCATACTCCGCCGCCTAATACTTCAGTAGCATTTTCTTTTGTTTCTCTGACTCCCGTACCTTAAACTTCGAAGCAATGGCTACTCCTGTTAAAAGAAGATTATTTTCTGATCCATCATCGGTAACATTTATCTATGCCTTACCTTCTCTCTTTCTTTCCTTTTTCTTTTTTGTGGGGGCTTAGGGTTTTTTTTTTTTTTTTTTTTTTTTTTTTGAGATAAGATACCATATGCTGGTCTTATTTTATTTTATTAATTTACATATGCTGGTCTTATTTTATTTTATTAATTTATTATTATTTTAATTTATTTTTTGGGTGCAATTTGAGTTGTTGATTCAGATGGGTACCGGAGGTGACGAGGTTGTGGAAATTGAAAGTTTAGAAAAGGGTTTATTGTCTCCTAATAAAGAGACAACTGAAGTTGAAGATGACCCAGTTCTTTATACAGCTTCTTTTCAAGAAATGGAGGACAAATACGTTAAGTATCAAACGGCACAATGGGTTATGTATTCCTTGCTTTTAGTACTGGCTTGGGGCATTGGTTTGTTAATGCTTTTGTATTTGCCTGTGAGGAGATATATATTGAGGAAAGATATTCAATCGCGAAAGCTTTACCTCACTCCCAATTCCATTGTTTACAAAGTAAATCATCCATATCTCACTCAAAGCCTTCACTTTAGTAATGTACTTGATACTGTATCGAGTTGTGCATTTGTTGATTTCATTGTTAACGTCTTTGATTCCTTAGCTTAGGTCACAAGACCCGTGCCATTTCCATGTTTTGGGTTGTTAAAGAAAGAGAAGCATGTTTTATTGCCTTCAGTTGCCGATGTCATTGTGGAACAAGGTAAAAAAGTTGGCTAAACTTACTTAGCTGGAACAAGTGCAATCTTTTATCCATCACTTTGGTTGAATTGAAAATTTTGTATGTTATTTTGCTGGGAGTGTGAAAAAAAAATGTACTAGAAAAGTGTATACATTTCCTTTCTAGCTTTGTCATTGTTTTAGTTTTCTTGATATTCAATAAGTCTGTCTGTAATGTTGTCAGGATATTTGCAGTCTCTTTTTGGTGTCTACTCTCTGAGAATCGAGAATGTTGGTGTAAGAAGGCCACCAAGTGATGATGTTAAAATACAAGGCATTGCTAATCCAAGTGCTTTCAGGAAGGTACTCTTTGTCATCAAATTGGTAATAGCTGTTAGTAACTTTAAAAAAGGAAGGAATGCAACTACTTTATGCCTCCCGATGCTCTTTTCAGGCAGTCTTGGCACGACTTTCATATATGAGAAGTGAGATTGTCTCTAGACAAGTTTCCACAATTGAAGACATTCCCAATTTGAGGATCGATCAATCATCAGCACTAGCTTGGGTATGCCAAATGTTACCATACAACTTAGGCAAAACTACTTTTAGTCCATTTATAATGTCCCTTCTGTTAGTGATTTTAAGTTCCTTGTGCAATTTTTTGCAAAAGTTGATTTGTATTCTTAATTTGTGAACCAAGACAACCAATTGGAAGCACAAACATTAAATAATTTTAGCCCTTTGCACTGCCATCTTATTGAATACGTGGAATTTTTTTGTCCTTTTGGCTCTTATAATTTCTTCCCCTCCTCATGTTTTTGCAGACATCCCCTTCAAAATCTCTCAAACATGATTCAATTTCTAATTCAGGGGACCTGATTCTACTCCAAAAACTGGAGGAAGTTGGAAGTTCTGTGCAGGTAAAGCAAAAGCAATCTTCTCTATAATTTCTACATCATGATTTTGTGACTTCTCTTTTCATAGACATGTTCCTGACTCCTGATTTTCATTTGCAGAGAGTTCGAATGTTAATTGAGGAACAACATTCCAAACCATCAGAACCCATTAGTTGAGGTTAGTGGGATCCATATGAGAATTAAAATACCTAACTTTCTAGCTTATCGTGTCTGTTCTATTAGTGATTTTCGTTTATTTTCAAGTGATAATTTTCTTTAGAATATTTGCATCAAGTAGTCCCTGGATGTCATAATTTAAGCAGTTCGTACAATTGGTCCTGCTTGTCATGCTTGCACCCCTACTGTGTCCTTATGCTTTCACCGAGGCACTAATACTGACTACTGAGTGGGCTAACAGCTTCAGAAAGATAGTTTCAGAATGCTAGGATTGTATTACTTAAGCTTCTAAGTAGTTGAGGTAAATATTTGAAATGTTGTGTAATGGAAAATTGAAAGGTGTTGTTTGGAACTCTCTACTTGGCCGATGTATTGACCAATTGGGACAACCAGCCCCAGACTTCATTGCTGATCCTGGTAGACGTGGAACACTACTTCTACTCTAAGACAAGGTTACCGTATGCCTCTCACTAATTTAAAAGAAGGTTCAAAATAAAATCTATAAGTTAGCATGTGGAACTGAATCACTTTTTGTGGTGTATCACATTTGTCATGGCAACTGTTGCATCTGTATGGGTGTGAAACATCCGATGTCTGATGAATTTCATCCTTTTTGAGAGAACAAAACTTTACGCCCATATGGATCCATCTCTATCCTTTCCAAAAAAAAAAAAAAGAACGAAACTGCACTGCTCACATTAATAGGATAGCTTTATTAGCATAATCAACAATTCGAACCTGGTTTTGTTATCATCACTGATATTTTTTTATTTTTTTCAAATTGTGCCAATGTGTTGCAGGATATGATTCTGAGATGTAGGCAGTATTTTGCCATACTGATTTGAACCTACACATTTGTGTTCCTTCCTTTAGTTATCATTACAAAAGTGATACTTGCTTTATTGCCAGTATAAATATTTCCAGTGAGTATAATATGTTTATGTTTACTTGGAGACCATTGACCATCGCCAGTTCCACTTGCCACTATAGACTGTTGTTCACATCCATTGGATCGGTTTTTGTTTGTTGGTCCCATTGTAAAAAGAGTAGCCTCCTCATGTATTCACCTCCTGCCATGCTAGCCTTTCTTTACCTGCTCTCTTTTTATGTTGTAGTTGTTTTGTCAAATTGTTTTGTTTTCTTCTTCGTCTTAAACTTATTACGTATAGTGATTGTAAGTAAATAATTACCATCTAACTACTATCACTCAATAATCCCTGCCTTTAGATGGACTGTACAAGTTAATTTTCTATGATGTCTGGTGTCGTCACCCCATTTTTTGCCATATAAAAAGAGAAGGAAAAAAATCAGAAAAAAGAAAAAAAAATCAGAATAAAAAGGAGAATGAAGCAGGCCTGGGCCTGGCTGCCCAGCCCCAACTGAATCCAACCTAAAATTTAGAAGAGGAAAAAAATATAAGAAAATCTTAAGTAGCGCCTATAAATACATGATAGTCTAGCACGCTTACAAGTTACGAGCCCGCTGCCACCTGAAGACAAAATTCTAGCCAATTCTGACAAGAAAAAAAGAGCAGGGGGGAGAAAACGACGGTTACTGCTCACAACTCGGAGCTCTGCTAGTCACGTGCTATACCACCACGATTGGCAGGAGGGGATGAATTTAGTGATTAGCACCACCGAACTGATTGTATTTCGACCGCTGAGGAACACCCACTCGTGGCGAGTGGCTTCTGTCTGCCGGCTGTACTGCAGCCATTTTTTTGGTCTTTTTTCGTGCAATTTGATCGCTGATTTAATTCAAGTCTTGTCGTAAAGATAGTGAGAAGAAACAGAAAATAGTCTCCAACCCCAAAAAACAAAAGAAAAAACAACATTAGGCTTCTTCACAGCATAACAGATGGCCTCCATTAGTGTTGATTAATTCTTGCTTTTCAAATGCAGAATCTGCAAAGGTAACACCACACCACACTATACAATAATAGTCAAACAGAATATAAAAGAAGCAAGCATTTGGTTTAATTATTTCCACATCAAGTGTCAAAAGAAAGAGTGCTTGAATTATGGAAGTAGGTTGGTTCAAGTGACCAACTGTATGTGAACTGTCCTTCCACACAATAGTTGCTGCCAATGGGCATGCAACCCTGCCAAATTATCTAACCCACTCGGCCAAACCAATAGGGCTTGAGTACAGCATAATTTCAATAATGGAGTTGTTTTGATCTTGATATTTAGTACTATAAATGTTGCAGAAATTTTAATTTTTTAATTTTTTTTTCAACTTCGAGACAGAATTCCTATTTGTGCAAGTAGTTTAAATTCAATATAGTCAAGCAATGTAAGTAGGTATCCCTTTGACCAGGACAGATTGTCCACAATATTGCTCCAAGGTAATGTTTGCTAAAGAGAGATTTGCTTGATTGGTCTAAATTTGACTATAAGTGCTTTAAGGATTCAAAAGGATATGGCATTCTTAGGATCATAATCTATAAAGCATTCAGTTTGGATCCTAGGGTGAGCGCATGCCATCTGGCCGACAAGGATAAAGTTTGTGCTCACTTTTAATCCAAATAAAATATGTCTAATGCACTGGTAGCTTTAACAAATTCCATGTATACATTAATTAAATTAATTAAATAACGAAGCATTCGTGGGGATTCAAAATAAATGCAAAAAATTAAGACAGAATGATGGTAAATCTTGTACAAATGAACAAAATCCAATTTTGAACAAAACCCATTTTTAGGACCACTTGATTTTGTCCAAAAACCACATAGAAACTGAATCAAATTCTCCACGTATCATACACAATCCATCCCCAAAAAGCCTGCAAACACAACCCAAATCTAGATATAGGTCTAGCACTAGTGAAATCCTCTGACTAAATATTTTTCAATTAAATATCAAACCTCTCAAAATTTATAACCACGACAGATTAATCAATGAATACCCATCAAATGCCAAAGAAACTTGAAAAAAATAAAATAAAATTAAGTTGTACTTTTAAATCTTGATTCTTGAATGATCTTGATTCGGTGGATTATTACATTTCTTGAGAACAAAGGCAAAAAGGGAAAAGAAGGACAAAGGGAAGAGAAAGGGAGCCAAGATATGAAGAAAAAACAGAATTACAATTCATTCATATGGTACCCTTGGGTTACACCATAAATCAAAACATAACAATTCACTGCTAAGTAAAATGAGCCATAATACTATTAGCAAGACGTGTGCTATCTTTTAGCGAGTTCGCACTTCATCCGACTAGTTCATTTGTTTGATTTATTCTTTGGTTGTTGCTATAATTAAGGGTCTGTTACGAGTTTGTATATATTGCTCCTATAGTTAAGGAGTCCCTTTAGGATCATTATTGTATTTAACGGTTGGCTCATCATTCAATAAGTCGATCGACTTTCTAAACTCTTTATGGTATCGTAGCAACATACGACTCTTACGAGTCCGATCCTTCCCTTTATCCTAATGCACGAACGACCATCATCACCTTCTCCTCAAGCTCAAATGGTCTCCACAAATAACTCCGTTGAAACTCGGCACCGCAGTGCTCGGCCATCCTCATGCTCAAGTTTTAAAAAATATTTTGCACAATTTTCCTATTCCCCTTTCAGTACCAAACACTTTTACATTTTGTAATTCTTGTTTATCCAATAAATCTCATCGACAACCATTTGCTTGTCTTACTTTTTCTAGTTCCAAACCTCTTCAAACCATTTTTAGCGATTTATGGGGACCATCCCCTGTCATTTCTCTTGACAAAAAATTATACTACCGCATATTTGTTGATCAATACACAAAATATACTTGGATCTACACTCTTCATAACAAAAGTGACGTCAAAACAATTTTTCAAAATTTTCAACCTCTCATGGAAAAACATTTTAATTCGAAAATATTGTCCTTCTACACCGATGGTGGTGGTGAGTTTCAAAGTCTCCGTTCATACCTCATTTCCAATGGCATCGAACACCTCATTACTCCTCCATATACTCCACAACGAGTTGCTTTCGTCGAAAGACGCCATCGCCACATAATCGAAACAAGCACGCACATTACTTTATCAAGCCTCACTGCCATCTAATCTTTGGACATTTGCTCGTCACCATGCTCGTATACCTCATTAATCGCCTACCAACATCCACCTTAAACAATCATTCCCCTTATGAAATGTTATTCCAAGCCAAACCAAAATATCAATCTTTGAAGGTATTCTATCGCCTATGCTATCCTTGGCTCAAACCATACACTCAAAACAAACTTCAACCAAGATCTACACCCTGTGTTTACTTAGGCATCTCTCTCTCTCACCACTCGTCATCAATGTTTTGATCCTATTAAATCTAAAATTTATTTGTCCCGTGATGTGATTTTCGTGGAACATGAATTTCCTTTCAAAACAATTTTTACTAATATTTCTAATTCTTTTCAACAACTAGTATGGGATGACTTGTCTCAACTTAGCCCACCTTCTGCCCAACACCCATCACCTACCTCACCCAACCCAATTTCGCATTTGCCCAATCTCATTCCCGTACGTACGTCCACTTCGCATTTAGACTCGGTCACTCATTCAACAACCAACCAGGTCTTGCCATTCACCAGCTTGCTTCGCTCCTACCTCTCTTCCTTCCAACACCTCTCCCATTGATAGATCCGAACCTCCTCCTTTTGTTTCTCAAAATACACAAATCCATCGCATAGTTACTCGTTCTTAAAATAACATCTATAAACCAAAATCTGTTTTTGATTATATAGCTCACGTTCAATCCGACATTACTCCACAAACATTCGTCGAGGCAAACAAAATACCAGAGTGGAACCAAGCTATGCAACCGAGTTTAATGCATTGGTGAAAAACCAAACGTGGGTACTTGTTCCTCCTAACCCCTCTAAAAATGTTGTCTCTTGTCGGTGGTTGTACGAGATTAAAAGAAAACCGGATGGCTCCATTGATCGATACAAGGCTCGGCTTGTAGCAAAAGGATTCACACAACGTTCGGGAATTGATTATCACTCGACATTCGATCCCGTCGTTAAGCCCACAACGATTAGAGTGGTTCTCTCTATTCGTTGTCCGGTTAAATTGGCCAATTCGACGGCTTGACGTCAACAACGCTTTCCTTCAAGGCCATTTGGAGGAAGAGGTTTACATGACTCAACCTCCGGGTTTTGAAAATCCATCACATCCTACTCATATTTGTCAACTCAAAAAGGCCATTTATGGTTTAAAGCAAGCCCCTCGTGCTTGGTACAACGAACTCAAAACACATCTTCTATCCATGGGATTCTTTAAATCCGAGTCCGACGGCTCTTTGTTCATCATGAAAAGTTTTGTTCTCCGTGTCTATCTTCTAGTTTATGTCGATGACATCATTGTCACCGGCAACGATAACACGAGTGGTACAACGAGTCATTTCTTCCCTTGCCACTCGTTTCTCTATTAAAGATCTTGGTCACCTACATTACTTTCTTGGTGT